TAAACTAAAGAAAATGAGGACAGTTTCAGATGACTCAGAAAATTCTATTGACTCACAATGATTACCATATTTTATATTTTATTCAAACAATCAATTGAATAATCCATTCTAAAATATTGCTGTATGCTGATTTGCCAAAGTTTTGCTCCATGTTGATAGGCCACATTTGTATGTCTACAGATGCAATAATTCATTTCATACTTTTTTAAATATGGAAAACTTTTTGGTTCTCACAAGTCCTCAGGTCTCCCTCTCTCTCTCTCTCTCATCGTAGTTTTGTAGATGTTGTAAGTGGTGGTATACAATTGTATATGTATTTTTTTAACTCCTCTACCAACACATTAGCCTGTGAAAAGACACTGGTGGAACAATTAGTTAGGGAAACATTGAACACGTTAGCTCCCTTTATATATCCCAGCTCTAAGAAGGACCACTGTGAAGAGAGAACTCTTTAACTCATTTTTTAGACAAATTGCCTTAGAATCTTTCAATAGCATACAAAATTAATCTTCCAGGGAGCACACTTTTGGAAATCAGGCTTATGCTGATATTCACAGGGTCAAAAATATTGAACTTGAATAGCTATGGGCTTTTCTTGCTAACTTCATCAATAGCAAGCTTCACTTCCCTTTTCATGTTTAAAGATTCTTCCCTTTGGGGAAAAGGATGGAAAATTAGAGGCTTATATCATCCTACCTTTTGTCAACTGTTAAAACTAAACTCCCTCCCCCCACCCCTACCCAGTGGTCCCTATTCTCTGCCTTTTCTGATCATATTCTTATTTAACAATTTATTTAAAAATGAGCCTTTCTAGGGCTTTTCTCAAACACTTTTTCTTTAGCTATGTGATAAGAAGTTTATCTTGTGAGCTCAGACACTTAAATTCAAGCCTTTCTAGATCAGCTAAAGGCTACAGAGAAGGCAGTGGAAAGGTAATTCCACTTAGATTTCCTATCTGTACTTGGATTTGACATAGAAGTCAAGTCTAAGTCACTCAAGTAATTATTTCTCACATGAGCGCTTTTGCTGACAAATAAAATGTTGGTAAACTGTGTGTAGAGTTCTCCAACTAATTTTGCTCTTAAAAGGAGAAATCCTTTTTTCACTGCTTTTCCTTTCTTTCATTTTAAATAATGCATGCTATTGGTTTATGCACTCTATAATCTTGCTGGTTATTCCAAACTTTATTACCACCTCCATTTTTAAACATGCTGCCAAGTAATGAAACTCTGTGTTTCTTGACTTATTTATTTAGAATTTATTTAGACTTTATTTATTTAGAATTTTCCATTTAAATATCATCATAGACATGTTATCTATATAAATGGAAAATTCTAAGTATATATATATTATATATAATATATATATACACACACATATACATGATTAGAAGCTCACCAATATCATAAACAGATATCATTGACTAGCTTCATAAGTAGCTTTTACCTCACAAAAAGATGTCTTTTCAAATTGGGTAAATTAAGTTTCTGAAAGTACTGACATAGCAATTGCTATATCACTCATCTCTGATAGAAGTTCAAATAGAATTTCAAATCTGATCAAATCTCACTTTTATAGATGACTTTGACAAATGTATCAGTCACCTTACCTTTATACTCATTAGAACTTTTGTGGCAACTGCCAAGCCAGTGTTCCGGGGCTGAAAAGTAACAAAGGAGAAGAAGGAGGCACTGGTGAGCCTGGAAAGTATGATTCTGCAGCCCGGAAGGTAAGAGGCCAGCTGAATGTGGGCAGGCCCTGTAGGTTACACAGGGCACCTTCTCTCACATCTGTTACTGCTCTGTCCTCTAGGGTGACATGGGGCCACGAGGTCCTCCAGGAATCCCAGGCAGAGAAGGACCAAAGGTAAAGAAGCTTCTCCATTCTCCTTTCTGTGACTTCCAATTCAGTGTGAAAAAAAAGGAAATCCATTTTAAAATGCACTACTTTGTATAAAAATATTTTGGAAAAGTGGTGTAAAGCCGTTTGCAAATGTTATTTATTTGTTCCCTGACTGTTCAAATTACATGCCCCAAGTGTCCTGAGAAGAGACATTTTCATTATTCCAAAGGATGACAAAGTGATTGAGTGTACTAGCTGAATTTATTGTCTTTTTAGGGAAGCAAAGGAGAGCGGGGCTACCCGGGGATACCTGGGGAGAAAGGCGATGAGGTAAAAGATTATTCTCTGATTATATAGTCCTACTGATTCTGTTTATATGGCTCAACAGAAGAAAGACATCGATTTTCCTAGAGCTCATGTTTAATGCTAAAATGAATAAAAACAAAGAGGCAGGTCTTTTCAAATGTTAACACATTTTGAATAATAATATGTTGATGTTTAGTATCAATGATCTGGTTTTTGAGACTAGGAAATTGAAGCACAAAATTAACATATCAGTTACTATGTTTCTGTTTCCATGTAGCAGACGATAATTCCAACCAACTCTCTCAAAATAAAAGGAAGAGGATTCAGGAAAGGAAGATTTACTGACAAACATCCCAAAGTAGCTAGTAGAATTGAAGGAGTAGTTAACAACCAGCCTAGGGGGAAAGGCAGACACAGAGCTCAGCAGGACTTCCCTGGAACCCTGCTGTAACATGACACAACTTCAGTGACCTTGGTTTGTCTGTGACTGCTCAACTTTCAACTTCTTGGGAGAAAAGGATCTGGTTAGACTAGCTTAGATCAGCTGCCCAACCCTGGACTAAGGTTCAAAGTCAACTGTACTTTTGAGGCAATGGTATAATTTTCTGACTCTAAACCATGGCGATGTTCAGGATATTATTCTTTTCCTGCATAATTCACATTAACTCTTAGAAAAACCAATTAGGATGATGAATTGTTGTTAGTTTAAACAGTTTTGATACTAATAATTCTTAATGAAAGTAAGTAAGCCATCTGGCATATATTAACCTTGATGTCAGCGCAGAAAATCATAATGAAATGAAGTAGATCTGTTTTTTGAGTTGGGAGTTATATTTCACATAAATTATCATCATATGTTATGGTTTTTAATTAATAATGATTCTACTCTAGAAAACTGAGGTTTGGCTTGCTTTTCCCAAGTTAAAAATTAAAGAAAAAAGAAATATAATATTTTCATTCAAAAACAAAACTGGAAAGGCATTTTCTTTCCTTTTTTTTTTAAAGATTTTATTGGGGAATTGCAGGGAGGGGAACAACGTTGGGAAATCGGGGAAGAGAAACAGACAGGTAGACAAATTGCTGTTTTTGTTCTTCAGTCTAGTTGTGGAAGACGTCACTTCACTGGTCCATGTTGGTATGATCATTGTGCTCTTCCCGGGTGAGGCAATAGGTTGCCAGTCATTGGTCGGCCGCTCACAGCGGCTCCCGATAGCTCACAGTGGCTCCCAGTAGCTCACACCGGCTACCAGCCACTCACGTAGCTCACGGCAGCCCACTGCAGCCCTGCTGCAGCCTACGCCATTGTAGGCAACTCACAGCAGCCTAGCTCTAGGTTGAGCTGTTGTTCATCATCTTAGCTGTAGAGGGTGAGTGTCACTGGCCCTCAATGTGGGATCCGAACCGCAGCCCTGCTGCTCAGAGCTGATGCTCCCAAGCGAGCTCTTAACCAGCTGAGCCACTTGGCCGGCCCAAGGCATTTTATTTTCAAAGTAAGAGTTAATTGAGCTTTTGCTTCTTCATGCTCCATAGAAAGTTTCACTATAGTACTAGCACAATATCTGATTTTAATAGTCTAACGGCTTTGAACTGCCTAGATTCAAGAGGTAGGTTTAGAAGCAATTGAGAAGGCAATAACAAGGGACCAGGAAATAATTGAATTTCAGGTTTTTTATAAGTGACTCTAAGTTAAATTTATTAAAAGTTAATTTTTATTGATTTAACAGGATACTTCACCCTCTTGGTGAACTGAAATCAATAGTTATTATTCTTCCACTAATTTAGTGTGTTTTTTCTTAACTATACCTTATGGATTCTTTAACACGGAGTACACAAAATTTTGCACAAGACTCTTATTACATAGGGAATTCCAGCAAGTTCAGAAGGAAATTCTTTTCAGTTGTTTCTTCACATCACATGAATAATAGGAATAAACCTTAAGTAACATACTAGCTCAGTGGGTCCTTTGTGGAGAATGAGTCAGTGCAGTATTCGCCTCTCACACAGATGGGAAATAGTATCATCTGGTCTTCTCCTTGGACTCAGATGCTACCTAAAATTATAATTTGTTGACTGAAGTGAATGAAACTGACCAAGAATTATACATTTCCAACTGGCCAATAAACTGTACTCTTGTAATACGTACATAATATCTAATCATACCAAATCTGAAATGTCTGTTTTACTCTCAGTAGAAAAAATAAACAGGGACACCCCATCTCTTTGAGGACTTCTACTTATTATGTGTTCATAATTCATTTGGGAATTTAGAGGAGTTGCCTATTTGTTTATTGCTCTTAGAAAAGTGACATTATCCTCTATATTTTTTGTAAGTGTTTCACAACTCAAGGTGGTAACTTGAAGCTGCTAATAGAACACACCTCTCATACTCAAGAGTAAATTCTTGCTTTGAATGCAGACCTACCTACAATATTTCAGGATAACGATAAAGACATGAAAATATTTTCAGCCATAAATTTTCACAATGGAAAAATAAATATTCTTGGTAGCGACTGAGCTAGGTCTTGCAAAACCAAGATATCAGAGCAGGGAAAGAACTTAGTGATCCCTGAATATCTATGCAATAAATTTTAATTTGTATTTTAGTTTGGCACTCTATGCTAAAATGACTGTCCTATTCTTCAATATTCATTCCTCTTCTTTAATGACCTTCTTGTCTTCTAAAATTATCTTATTGCCCTTTATGCATCCATAGTAACTTTTACCCTTACTCCAAAATTTTAGCTTGTTCAGAAAAAGGCTGCTGAGAATGATTTCTTTTTTATTTATGGACTGAGGTTTATTTTAAAGTTTAATGTGGTCATCAAAGGTTAATGAATCCCAAGCTTATAAATTAGACTACCTAAAGACTCACTCAACATCTCTAGACTAGTTCAGTGTTGAAACTAAAAGTAGCAAAAAAAGAGAAAAGAATATATATGTACATGCATATTTTATACATGTACATATAGGGAGAATTTTATGAAAATATAGTTTTGAGATAAAGCAATTTATGGTATAGCATTTATAATCTCAAGATATTTAGAGGTGCTATTCCCAAAGGAAATTTGTTTGTCTTCCACTTATATACCTGTGAACAAGTTAATGGAGGGGAAATAAAAAGAGACAACACAGCATGCTAGTGCATGCCATTCACACACACACACACACACACACACACACACACACACACACACACACAAACACACTATAAGCATACATAAGATTTTACCCAAGATTCTTATTACATGAGGAATTTCAGATGTTCAAGGAGATTCCTTCCAGTGTTTACTCACACTATATCACATGAGAATATCTGAAGTAATATAAGATCCCATTGGCATTAGATATACTGGCCTGGCAGAGCTTGGTCCTTGAACCCATCGATGCAAAGAACCTTGGTCTGATAGGATTTATTTATTGCATAAATAAATATGCAATAGTTTTACCAATGTCATCTCACCTAATATTTATAATGTGTATAAAAATACATATTTCATCACAGTAAAAGGTAAAGGAAATTTATTATAACAAGAGTGGTTTGGCAATATAAGAAGATCACTCAGTAAAGAAAATTAAACCCTAAAAGGTAGAACAATTCAATCTAGAACTCCATGCATCATATGGTTATCTGAAACAACAAAAAGGTATCTTTAAAAGTATATTTTTTCTGATTTTAGAAGTCATCTTAGTTCATTATAAAAAATTTGGGATATATACAGAAGCACTGAAAAATATATAGAAGTTATCGCGGTTTGCACTGCCCAGGGAGAACTGTTGGTAATAGTGATATTATGGTCCACAATCCCAAAGCTCAAAAGCCTCTGAAGACGCTAGAAATTTTTTCCAAGATTACAGCAAATTCATTTAGCAGCAAAATCTGAACTGAATTTATATGGAACTGGGCTGTTTATCCCACTTGATGAGAATACCATACGTTCTGCTCCAGAAATATTTGTGTGTGTATTAGAGGATGCTGCCTCAGGTACCATTGACAGTGTTACATAATATCCAGTCTGAGCACTGTGCTACCTTTAAAAAAATCTGAAAACTCAGATCTCTGAAACACATCTGACACTAAAGTTTCGAAATAAGGCATGATGAACCTCTATTTATCATTGTCATATTTTATAAAGTACATTTATAATTTTTTAATCATTTGGACCCTACTCTATGTAATGTTTTGTAACTTTTATTTTTCCGTGTTATCCAATAGTTTGCCTAAACATGATTTTAATAGTTGTGAAATATTTCATATTATGGGTTTTCTGTAACTTATTTAAGTAATAGTCTGTTGTTGGCAACCTTGATACAAGAACAAAATTAATTACTCAAGTTACCAGTTAATCTAGCCGGTTCTTCCTTGAATATATAGATGTGTCAGCATCTTAAACCCCATCCCGTATAATTAGCATTATTCTACAAATCTAAGGAGGCGAGGGAGGGGGATATCTATTCATTTTTATGCTTAAGCTCTTAAAGCGTTCCAAATTTAAATTCACCAATGAGCCAGATTTCTTCTTATAATGAGCTGGCCAGCTAAACTAAATATTATATCATAAAACATGTTCCATTTTTCCACTAGCAGAATGAAGCATTAGTGTAATCATATATTTCTTTGTTGGCATTCTGCCAATCTGAAATTTGTATTTTCATGCTGGATTCTCAGTGGTGCTATTGTCGATGGGGCAGCTCTGTGAGGCCAGAAATGCTCTGTGAATCACCAAACACATTAAATGATGCTTGTTACAGATTCCATGTCATGGCATTTAAGCTCAACATCCTTACTCTTTGAAAACAGCTATTCGTGTGTGGCATATATCATGTTTTTTTAATAAGTCAACATAGATGTTTAATTGTCGATAGTCAAAATACAGTAAAACCTTGGATTGTGAGTAATGTGCTTTGCGAGTGTTCTGCAAGACGAGCAAGCATTCCTAATACATTTTAACATGGTAAATGAGCGATGTCTTGCAATATGAGTAGTTTGTTTCCAGAATGAATTATGCTTGCAAACCAAGGTATTACTGTACTTGATTAACTAAAATGCCTTGTTTCAATGATATAGCAGATTTTATGGTAGGTACTATGTCTTCTAGGGTCTTCAAGGAATTCCAGGAATTCCAGGTGCTCCAGGCCCGACTGGACCCCCTGTAAGTATTTGCTAAAGCTGCTCTGCTCACAGTCCCCTACCTGCTGGGATGATAAAAGGTGAACTAATATTTCTCATGTGCCTGCCTCTATGTAGGTTATCCAGCTGTTGCTTAGAAAAGTAGCACCCACCATCTCTGATTTTCATTTAGTATTACTTAAGGTTGCTCAGGGTTGTGATTTGTCATGAGAATTCTACCAAGCCAGAAATCAGTTTGTGGTTAAGCTCATCTATCTGAATAGAAGAAGTTGGATGCAAAACAACATTCTATTTTCTACTTATTATTTCCTGACATTAACCTTTGGAAGAGATATTTAGATGGTTATACCCTTATATCCTTAAGTACAATAAACTAAGAATTTGTTTTTTAGAGGGGAAAAAAATGGGTCAAGGATGATTAGATTCAATTTATTTTTATTCTTCTCTATGAATTAAAATATCCTCTACGTTAGTCAGTACTTTCTTTCACTGCTTCTCAGACATAACATCATGGCTTTTGTGTCCTTGGTTATACTGTTTTCCTAAAATAGAATCTCTTTTCCTTTCCTACCTGCTCAACCCAGTGTCTCATTAAAGTGGAGCTCAAATCTAGGGTTGCCAGTTAAAATGCAGGACATGCAATTAAATTTGAATTTCATATAAATAAATAAATATTGTTTTAGCATAAGTTTGTCCCAAATATTGTATTTTTATTTGCTAAATATAGCAACCCTACTAAAGTCTTAACTTCTCCAGTCCTTCCCTTCTTGGAAGTCCTATGCAGATAGTACTTACCACACAAGTAGGAAAGTAATCATGTTTCTTAATGTTTTGAGTCATGGATTTGCCATAATTAAAATTTTTTCATTTATGTTTTCACCACAGTTATGTGAAACAAACCTGGCTGTAAACTGTAGACTAAAATTAAAAGTTAAGACAAAGAGTTGTGAAAGGAACCGTGAAAATTATAGCTAACTATTCTCAAAAGGAATTAAAAATTTTATTTTCCATTGGTAAAATGCAGATCTCATAACTCAATAGGCATGTTGTTAATTCTGCTGTGTCTTGAACTATGTAAAATGTTGATCACTCCCAAAATTATAGCTCATTTACAAAAGCATAATGTTATGTAAATTGCCATTTAAACAGCAAGGCTAAATTCTGAAATGTATCAAAAGGTTCCAATTAAGGTCATTCAGTGTGGATGGCCAAGGTGAAAAGCAACCACAAATACAAATTTTACCCTTGCACAAGCTTATCAGCGGGATACAGCTGCTGTATCAGCCTGAAGAAATGTAAGCTTGTAGGACTGATTTAATTAGGATTAAATGACCTTCAAAATGTATCAGTTTTAGACCAACTTCCAATACCCTTTGGCCACGTAGTTGTTGTTTTTGTAACCAACTTAGTTTTGTGTTTCACAGGGCTTCATGGGAAGAACCGGGCATCCTGGTCCCGCAGGAGCAAAGGGTGACAAGGTATGGAGGACAAGCCTCACTTAGTGTTTGGATTGGGGCTTGGGACAGGGGCAAGGTGAGACTGTTTACGAAGAGATCCATAAAATCAAGCAAAGCCTAAGAGGAGGAATGATGTCTGGTAGTGGGCTTGGAAGGACATCGGTCCAATAATTGATCTGAATGAAAATAGGATACTGTGTTCCTAGAGGAAAGCATGAATAAAACACTGGTGCCTTATAGCAAAAGTCCAAGCTGGGGTCAGGGTCCTGGGCATCTAACGATGTGAAAGGATGGGGAGGGGAAGCCTCCTGAAGATGTCCAAGTAAGATGGTTTGTATCAGGGAGCTCCAGCTCCAGGTGCCAAGGCTTCAAGCTGCACACTGGCCCATCAGGAGTAGGAATCCAATTCGAGAAGGGCTCTCTCTGGTAAAATCTGGAAGTTCTCTCCTTTGAGGGCCATGGGGTAAATTCACTAAGGAACCAGGACAAATTGTTTCCCGGGGAGTCCAGTTGATTGGACAAATGGGCTTCTGTGGTCAGAAGGGAGGACTGTTAATACAGGAAGACCACAGGGCATCATAAATTTACCCAAGTTAGGCTCTAAATTGGCCTCACAGTGTGAATCCAGACAGAGCTAGTAAATGAGGGACATAAGATTAGCTATTCACATTAGGGAAATAAGAATAAAAAAAGTACACTCAAGTGGTTTCCATCCGGAAATGACCAAAAATGGGGCAAAATGGCATCAAGAAGCAAAGGAATCCCACCCCCCCACACCCACCCCCAGACTGAAAAGAAACAGTGCACTTATTCTAGCCAGGCTCGGCACATTTTTTTCTGATAGTATTCCAAGGAGCTTGCCCAACCCCACTAGCCTTTTTTCTCTGTTCTCTATAGAAATTATTCAGAGATTTGCCTTTTGAAGTTAATGGGAATTCCACACTGAGATGAGCTTTGGGGCACAATTGAGGATGAAAATATGACTCTTAATTGTGCCAGGAAAAAAAGTCTTTTCAACAGGCACATATTTCTCCTTGTTTTTTGTCCTCTCATGGTTCATAAGAACTATGACATAATTCTCTGAAGGACACTGCCAGCAGTCAGCAGAATATGACATGTCTTAGAGAGATAGCCACCTTCAAAGCAGTCGGGGAAAGATACAATTTACTCCTTGCCACTCATTCTCAGTCAGACACATTGCAAGAAAAACTTTACAGTTTATTTTTATCGATAAAGATACAAACAAGATTTTATGATACTTTCTTTTGTTACTGAACAAGTGGGAAGATTAGAATGAAATCCTTCATAAATTTATGGAAATGGGTTGAAATCTCTCAAAATTCTTGGACGTGGTAAATAGGAATTATACTCTTCTGGGTTCTTTTTTAATTAACCATTTCTTGCCATTGCCCATGATCTTGAGGGACTTAAAAGATTTTATGAGGCTATCATTCTGAAAGAAAAGTTACAGAAGGAACTGATTGAAGGCACCTAAGGGACTATAATACCTCTGCTTATTATGGGCTGATAAGCATTCTGTTTTATAAAAATAAAAGTGAAATCCAGTTTTCAAGTCTTAACTTGAATTCATTTTTTCATAAATTCCATTTTCCGTCTGCTTCTTCTGTAAGCAGAATATCTGAGGCTGTTTAAACTGTATAGAACATTTCCCGTAAGCAGTATTGTACCACAGTAACGTCTGTTCCGTGGGAGACATGCTTGACTTGGTTATAACGTCTAATATTAACTTAGGAAGTGAAAGACGTTAGGTGAGGCTAAAGTGAGGGGCTGACCCAAAAAGCCATAGCTCCTCGGAGCCTGTCCCCTTCTTGCGGGAACTCTGCTCTTCACCCTCAATATGGGCAGGGTGCTCCCAGCTGCACTTAAAGTCCAGGACATGATCCCTGGGTTGTCTGGCTCCATCTAAAACTAAGCTTCATCCCTGGGGCTCCCACAGTAAGAGTTTGAATGAGTACGGGAAAAGGCATTTACCTTTCCTGCAGTCTAGAAATGTATTTCCCCAGGTGAAAGAGAAAAGCCAAGCTGAATAAGACTTTGCAAGGCAGACACAAAACAACAAGCCATATTGATTTCACAATATGGCTCTCTGAGCAGGTATAATCTGGTGTATAAACCTGGGGTACAAATGTCTAAGCCATTGATTTTGATCTAAATATCCTTTGCAGGGCAGTGAGGGACCTCCTGGGAGACCCGGACCACCTGGACCGCCTGTGAGTTGTTTCAGGTTTAAAACTAAATTCCTGTGCCTACTTAAGACTTTTATATTTCAGAGGTCAGACGATATTTTGATGTTCTCAAGGATAAAAATCATCTGAGTTTTGTGTGTAAATATAAATGTTAGCCAATGTAGCTTTGGGAAGACCTGATGTTTCCCTGTTGGCTCAGTTCCAATGTGAGGTGTTCAGATTTACATACTGCGGTCCTCCTCGCATACTGTGGATTCAGGAGACCTGGGTATGTGCCCTGACTCTCCGCTTCCTGCCTGGGGGGCCCTGGAGAAGTCACTAAACCTCAGTGATCCTCATTCACAGAAAACACATGGGCTTTAAAAAGAAATTCCCTTCCAGCAACGTGAGCTAGTCCAAAATTTGGTTTTATGCTATATGTGTTCATTACCATCCATGATATCTGAGATGCAAGGAAATTCTATTTATATAGCACCTAGTGAATAAAATGTACAGGAGCCATGGATGCTTTTATGCTCATGATTGAGACAGATGCGCGTTGTCAGGGAGGCTGTGGAGAGAAGAGGTGCCTCTCTCTGTAGCAAGTCTGCCCTCATGTGGGACCGTGCTCGAATCGCAGCAGAGCTTTGGTCCCGGCCAAATGGTCTTTTCCACCCTTCCTCAAAGGGATAGTTTAAGAAGCCAAACTCAAGGGAGAAGGGGCAGAATTTACTTATTACTTTCTGAAGACAACAAAGATGCGTGCGTTATTAGTCTGCATGCAAATACAGGCTTTGCACATGTAAATGAAGAGATTTGCACCTGTTTTCCTAACCCTGTTCTTCATTTTGTTTACTTACCTTGTCTTGACAAGGAAGCAGGGCAGAAAGAATTTCGGGCTCAAATCCTAAAATGTACTTACTCTCAATGGTCAGAAAAGCAAAATAACCCACAAACTCACGAAAGGGACCTATATTTTACAATGGGCTTAAGAAGTCTTTCTCTTCCCCCTGAATTCTCCAAAACAATTTATTCTTCAAGACAGATTAAATGTGTCTTTTGGGGGGGAAACCTCTCCCTTTGGGGACAAAGCAGGGGAGAATCTCAGACAATATTATACTTCATCTCCCCAGTACTTTGCATGCTAAAAAATACAGTACACATTCAACAATTGTCAAATGAGTGAAATACTAAAGGAATAAATGAGTGGATCATTTTTTCTTCCATCACTAGTGTTTTAAAGATATATGCAAGTTGTGTTCACTTGAGCACCACTGACCACCATTATCCAAAAACAGTGAAATGATGTCTTCTTCAGTTTTGCACCTGAAATGTGGAAATCACAAACCAGGCAATATAGATTACTGACTCTATGGGAATTAAAAATATATATATATTAAAAGATCCTAACTAAACTTTTCATATGCTAATTTTTCCTAAATGCCAAAATGCATGATTTTTTTTTTAAGATTCTCATACTGTTATCTTAAGTGTTATTTATTCCGAGACTTTCCATTCAGGGTCAATTTTATTAGGAAGTTCTTGTTCCCTATTGTTCTAAAGAATATGCTTTTGTAGAAACATCCACACAGGGCTGTGAGTAACATCATCTCCTCCATTTAACCTTAATTTTCTATTTAGTATGAAGAGACTGGGAAAAAATTACTTTTCAGCAGCCAAATTGTTCCCTGTTCACATCTTCATCAGCAGTACTGCATTATAGCCTGCAGGTCAGCGGACTGTAAACAGTTAGCATAAAGTGGCAATTCAGAAACTGAATTTTAATGCACAAATAATATTTTCCTCTGAATGCATTAGTGTCTCATCTGTCAAGCCTGCACATTAATCACACCCCCACTGAAAGAGCCTCTGTGCTCCAGGTATGGTCCAGCACACTCCTTTTCATTTTTTACTCTAGATCTGCTTTTGAAAAGTCAAAAATAGAAACATTGGATTATTTTACTTATAGTAGTAAACTCACTTTCTAAAATAGAATAGGAAAAATATCTCTTGATAAAAAGATAAATGGTAGAGATGCTAGCTATTAAGAGAATAATTCTATATCTCATTTCTTTCTTAAGGGTACACCATTCAGTGAAGGAAATGGAATGAGCAGTTTATATAAACTCCAGGTATTTACTTTTATAATTATCTCAAATAATTTTCCAGTTATGAATTAATGGAAATTCTTCTCATCCTTGTATTTCTTTTTTTTGAAGGGAGGTGTGAGCGTTCCCAGTTATCCAGGGCCCCCTGGTCCCCCTGTGAGTACAGTTGTTTGTCACCAAAGCATACTTTGTCTAAACAGCCACAATTAAAACAAAACAAGACAAACAAATCAAACACCTAAGTTCACTGAAAAATGCCTATTACAAACTTAACCAGGATTTTATGCAGGAGGAAATAAATGAAACCAGTTATAATAAAATTGAGAAAATGTACACAGCCAAAATAATGAAAAATAGCATTGTGCATAGAAGTGTCACTTTTCACATTGAAAATCGAAGAACTAAATCTCCAAGCATCACTGCCATAGGAATTCCATCAACTTACGTTTTTTTCATCTTATTCTTCAAATCCAAACTGTAGCAACACAAAACTTGCCAATATGTTTATGTGTATTACAACAAATTGGACAACTATGCTTTGTCTTCTATAATGTTGCTTCAGTCATTATTTAAAAAATTACTTCCCTTTTTTTTCTTCTAGGGACCAAAAGGTGATCCTGGTCCAGTGGTATGTATATTCCCATGTTTTATGTCATTCAGAAAATAAATTTTTATAAAAGTTTGAGAGAAGTGTGTCAGGGAAAGATGGCCTGCCTTCTTCGACGTTCATCCATTAACATGTTGGAAGCAGCAGGCCGACCGCCGAAGAAGCGCCAGCAGTGTGCTCTTCATTTTTAAGATGCATCAGTGCTTCTTAAGATGTTGACGTTTGTCTCTTTTGTTAGTGTGTTTTAAAAATCACCCCGTGATGGAGGAAGACACATAGAAAGCTCTTGATAAATGGCACGCTTTCTTCTAATAGAACAACTTTGGTGACTGATTCAATATTAAGTAGATGGTGGAAGAAAAATACTTACTGGAAAGAAATTCCTTAATATGTCTGCCATCCCCTCAACAACAAAAATAGATTGTTTATTTGCTTTGAATGTTAGGCAGGAATTCTGTAGGAGATGTGGTGTACTGTCCTAAACCCGCTTATTAGGAGTAACGTTTCAGGAGGTTAACATTCAGCACCAAAAGAGACCATGTCCTCAGCTGCCCAAAGGGTTATAATTGTTCTCCAGCTCCCTTCTCAGGGCAATATATGTTAAAGCCAATTTGTTTTCCCCTGAAAGCATGATTTTGACAAGTTATTAATAGTAGCATTTTTCAAACATGTCATTGAAAAGTTTCCTTTATTTTATTACTCATTCTGCCCATGCTTCATCTGTAACATTTTTTATGCTTTTACCAACAATATCCTTCATTTTAATTTTAATTTTCTTTCACCTGGTTAATAAAAATTTCCTCCTGGTCTTTCCTTCTCACACTCACACAAACAAAACATCCCCTCTGAATGATCTAGGGCCACCTAGACTTCTCACTAGCTTTTGGGGAACATTCAAGTTTTTTCATTAATAACTGCAGATTAAGGTGAAAATGTTAAAAAAGCATTATAATAAAGGATAAATTATAATTCACTTGGATTGGAAAGTGGGTGACAGCAAAAATGTAGACATAGTTGAGTAGAATTTGAAGAAATTAAGCTTCAAATTTCTTAGTTGCAAAAAAGAATAAAGACTAATTGAAGGATATTCCTTCATTTTGCAGATGTAAAGTAAGTGAGAGAAGCACAAAAGCAAATGTGGAATTATGAAATTAAATACGATCCAAACCTTCAGATTTATCTTAGCTAGAACTTGGAAATTATTCTTTTGGGTTCTGTGTCAGCATTACCATGCAACTCCCTTCATTTCCCACGAGTTGCCCAGTATGGAGAAATAATACCTTACACCATAGAAATAAGCAGGAATTGTAGAATTTTAGGTCACAGAGTAGAAAATGGAAAAGTCATGTGGAGATGGGCGGGGGTAGATTTCAAGCATCCTTCAAATTCCATGGTGCTATATCTGCACCACTGTTTCTAATCTGCTCAGTAAACATTACAGATGAAAATTACCCTTAATTGAATTTATTACCTTTAGAGGGGCTCCATTCTATTCATTTGGTATTCAATTTATAAGTGGCTTTCAATTAAATATTTAATTATTAGCTACTTTCAAACAAATATTGATTGCCAGAGCACCTTTCCCTGTCCTAAGGATTGCTGGGAATGTAAACAAAGAGAATCAAAGAGCTTATTTCCTTTGTCAATAACCCAGGGACTCTTTCACAGAGCTTTATGTAGAATAGAATCTGAACGTCTTTTTGTTTGCTTGTTTTTGATTGACAGGTTACATATTCATGGATATTTAAAAAGATTTCTGAAGCATAAAAATTATCAAGCCATATGCTACCCATTTTCTCTCTTGGTTTAAAAGCCCTAATGTTTATTTGGTCAACGTTAGCAATTACCCTCAATCTAACTTTTCCAAATGTGTTTTCGAGGACCTAAAGGTTGCATGAGACTGCATGCTAGAATATGTAAAATATTGTTTTAATGGAAAGGCTTACCTATCTCCTCTCAGTGATCCATCAGCTTTATCAGTAACTTTAAAACTCATTGGAGATACTGCTGCTGGGGTAATCCTCTGAAGCGTTCACAGTTCATGTCCAGCTACAGAGAATATTGAAGGATGATCATGTGCTTTGAGAGCTCCATCTTCATCTCTTCTTAAACAGTTTAGTCTCATTCTTTGGTAATTTAGCAGCCCCGGCTCACAAATTGGCAAACTTTATTAAGGCCCAGCCTTTCTTTCTAATTCTATTCCAATTGTAGTTATCACTGACTAGAGGGATTCTTCCTGATTAGATTCTTAATCATAAAAACAATTAATCAGAAAATAGACTCATACTTCTCCAGAGAATAGCCGTATTCTCAAACTATTTTCAAACACCAAATGCAAAAACACAGATGCTTGAAAACAGAGCATACCATTTACTTACTAAATTACCAATCAATGTTTGAGGGGGTATTTTTTTCAGGCAAAAAATATCTTTACTTTTGAAACCAATGCTTAAAAACCTTTTGATCCTTGTTACTGTGTTTCTTATGTTCATGTTTAACAGGGAGAACCTGGTGCAATGGGGTTGCCAGGACTAGAAGGATTTCCAGGTATAAAGGTAAGTACAGGAGTTAGAAATGCATCCACTGATTCAACATTCAAAACTTTTACTGAGCACCTACTTATACCAGGAACTGTTTTATACCAGGAACTCTTTTAGGTTTGGAAATACACAAGGGAACAAAACAGATAAAAATCTATGCCCTCATGGAACTTATATTCCTAGATGAGAATATTGAAACTAAATGAATAAATACAAATATCTATTGGGTTGTGGGATAAGTCATGATGTATTTTTTTCTATGTTTTTCATTGCAAAAATGCATTATGACTTTTCCAACAACCCAATAAATAATATTGCTGTAAGTGCTATGGGAAGAAAGAAAAAGTAGATCAGGTTAAAAGGCATCATGAGTACTGAAGGGAGCGTGGTGATTTTTAAATAGGGTGGTCTGAGAAGGCAACAGGAGAGCAAAGTCGACAGAGGTGTTACTTTGTGAGGGGTGAAAAGGATAACTATTGCATTGTTCTGTACACCTGAAACCAATAATAAAAAATACAATTAAAATTTTTAAAAAAATCAAAAATAAAACCTTGTCTGGCAGTTTGACTTTGCCATGATATCCAAAGACTCATCTTAGCTCATGACGTCTTAGAAAATAAATAAGTAAACTGCTCCTTCAGTTTGAGAAGCACTAATAAAGAGGCTTATTGGCCATTGTAAGGACTTCATCTTTTATTCCGAGTTAAATATGGAGCCAGTGGTGGTTTCTGAGTAGAAGTTTGATAGGGTCTGCTGCTAGAGAGCAAGGGTGGAAGCAGGGACTACGCTTAGAAGACTATTCCCGTAATAGGTGGCAGGGATGTTGGCTAAGATCAGAGGTGAAATGGCGGAGGTGGTGAGAAGTGGCCGGATTCTAGATGTGTTGTGATGGCAGGGGCAGCAAGATTTTCTGATTGATTGGATGTGGGTGTAGAAGAATACAGAAGAGCCAAAGGTGACTCAAGTTTTTTGCCCTGAGCCACTGGAATGACTAGGCAGTCAGCAACTGAAATGAGGAAAGCTACAGGCAGAGCCTATTTGGAAAGAGTGAGGATGATCGGGGGTTTAGTTTTGGACATGAGACCAAATTTGAAGTATCTATTAGACAGCAAAGTGGAGGTATTGAGTAGGCAGTGTGATATAAAAGTATGACGTTTAAAAAAGAAGTTTAAGGGCCGACCAAGTGGCTCAGTTGGTTAAGAGCTCGCTCAAGAGTGCGAGCTCTTGAGCAACGGCGGTTTGAGTCCTGCCCGAGCTGAGCTGCCACTGAGCTGCCAACAGGTGGCAGGATGGCTCAGCTAAAAAAGAAAGAAAGAAAGAAAAGAAAAAAAAAAAGTCTAAGTAGAGCGATAAAATTGGTTGTCCTAAGCATGTAGTTGCTGTCTTAAAGTCAGCAGACTGGATATGATCACTAAAGGAATGATAGTAGACTTTTAAAAAAAGGAAGAGGGTCAAGGACTGAGTCCTGAACCCTCCAACATTAAGACATCAGGAAGAAAAGGAGGAACCAGCAAGGGAGACTGAGATGAAATGACCAAGGAGCTAGAAGAGTAATTTGGTGTCCTGGAAACCAAGTGCAGATAATGTATCAAGGAGAAGGAAGTGATCACCTTTCTCAAATACTGCAGATAGGTCAAGTATAATGGGGATGGGGTCAAGTACAATGATCAAGTATTGACCATTAGACTTAGCCATATAGAGGTTATGTATTGCTATAGTAATTGTTACTAAGTCACAATATTGGTAGGAGCAACTACTGGACTTGAATGGGTTTAAGAGAGAACGAGAAAGAAAGAACTAGAGACAGCAAATCCAGTATAGACAATGCTCCAGGAGTTTTGCTGCAAAGGAAAGCAAAGAAATGGGCCGTTGGCTGCTGGAGGAAGTATGGCAAGGTTTTATAAAATGGATTTTGAGACCATAGAAATACCAGAATGTTTTGTATGCTAAAAGGATGATCCAGTAGAAAAGGGTAGGATGGGCGATGCTATAGGAGGAAAGAGAAGAATTGCTGGAACAATGTCCCTGCATAGCTAAGAGGGAAGGGGACCCAATGCATAAATGGAGGGTTTGGCTTCAGAGAGAAGCCTGGATAGTTCATCTATGGCAGCGGTTCTCAACCTGTGGGTCACAACCCCTTTGGGGGTCGAATGACCCTTTCACAGGGGTCGCCTAAGACCATCGGAAAACAAAAAGATATTTACATGACGATTCATAACAGTAGCAAAATTACAGTTATAGAGTAGCAACGAAAATAATTTTATGGTTGGGGGGTCACCACAACATGAGGAACTGTATTAAGGGGTCGCGGCATTAGGAAGGTTGAGAACCGCTGATCTATGGTAACAAGTGGGAAAACAGAGCACAGAGGTGCAGATGCTGATATGTGTGAAGATGAATTTGTTGGAGTCTATAGAAGTTCTTTTCCAATTGCTTAAATTTTGTGAGATGGAGGAAGCAAGGTCATCATTTGAGAGTGAGGTAAGGAGAAGCGGTTGTAGATTTAAGGAGATCTTCTAGGAGAGAGAAAAAAACCAGTGTCTACAGAGTGTGGTGGCCGGGAAGCTCTAGGGCCCCCTTGTGGTTTATGGTCATGAACTAAAGTGAAACTAGTCAGCATGATTTTAGGTGCACTTCTCCATGTACGGACACTAGGGTAAAAGTACAAAATAGGAGGGAAGTGGTATTTAAACAAAGTTCCAGTTTTGACAGGTGAGTACTAGAAGCAACAATGAGTCAAAAGAGTTAACAGTATACACAAGGGAGTGATTGTGGCCAATAACCATGGAATTTAAATTAAATAAGGAAGAGAGGCCATCCAGGGAGTGAAAGATAATGAAAACTTTGTACCTTCAATGGATTGTGGCATCAGATCTTTTAGGGGTTCCAATACTCAAGGGAGTGGATTATAATGGTGAGAGACAGTGGTCCAAGGTTGGAATGCATTAAAATGAGATTACAGAGGGGATGCAGTTATTGTTATTGACAACGTCACAGGTATCACTATGGAAATAAGGAGCCAGATCATTAGAGGAGATTGGTTCAAAGAACTTAGAGACCCAAAAGCTGGAAGGACCATCTTGTCAAAGAGAAGTTCTCTTAACATTAATCTTTATTAGATATGCAAATGCTTCCATTAAATGAAAAATTCCAGTATGTTCATTGCAAGAGTAAAAATCCCATAATTTAAAAAGAGCAGAATGAAACTGGCAAGAATCACCTGTTTACATCGTTTGCCTACTTTTTTATTAGTTCTTTTTCTATTTGACTCTACCTCTGATTTATATATTAAAGATATTACTTCTATCTTATATTTTGGAATTTCTATCCTAGTTGGTCTCTACCTTTCACTTTTATGTATAATCTTATTGTACATGTAAATACAACTTTCATGTAATTGAATATAAAACAATTTTCCTTTATGATTTCTTGTTTTGCTTTTATGCCCTAAATGACTTTTATTCTTATTCTCAACCAAAACCAGATAGTCACTTATATTTTCCTCTAGTTTTTTTACACTTCACATGAACTTATTTTTTACACGATCTGCATGAAATTTATATGGGGTAGAATATAAAGAGAAGAATCAGCCTTCTGTAAAAGAAATTATTCAGTTATTAGTTGTTGAATAATACATCCAACAACTATTTTTTATTTGTTGAATAATACATTTTTTTTTACCAAAGTCCTATTATAAATGTTGGTCTATTTCTGAGGTTTCTGTTACATTGCATTAATATATTGCTTAATCTTATGCCACTATTCCATTATTTAATTGTTTTAGCTTTATTATATGTTTAAATATCGATATTGCTAATTTTATTTTTTTCTTTTAATTTTTTCTTTGACTCTCTCATTCATTTATTATTCCCTAGTGAACTTTAGTATCGTTTGACCAAGCTTCAATTTCATAAGAATTGCATTCAATTCTTATAAATTAGTTTGGGTAGCACTGACACTTTTCCAACATTGTCTTGCCCTTCAAAAACAAAATATATCTCCCCATCTAATCAAGTTTTCTTATCTGTCCCTGAAGGAAGATATAAAGTTTTCAAATGTAGGTTTTACTCAACAAAAATTGCCATTTTATTATCTCATATATTAATATAATCTCTAATATTTTTAGCGTTGTCAGCTTTATCTAAAACACTGCATTCCCTTTGGAAAAAATGCTGAGTCACTCTACTGTTCAGAGCAAATCTTCACTTGGCCTAAGGAGGTGAACTACAAAATCCCTGGTTCTAAATAGCTTTATTCTAGCTCTATATCGGAGGAGTCAAGTATAAAAAAAGCTTTTAGGTAGAATTCACTATGCCTACCCTTTTAAGTATTGAATTACTTTTGAATATCTGGAGTAAAACTATCAACTAATTTTAGCTGTAAGTATAGACAGAGTCCTATTAAAAACAGTTCACAAATGATAACATGAATGCTTGTTTTCATTAAAGTTATTTAGTTTTATGAAAAAAAAGAAAGCTTAACAAGTTCAGTTGGTGACTCATTTTATTTTTCCATCTACCCTCTAGCTTCACACCCAGCTGATTTTGATAATGTTTATCAATTCCAAAGAAAAACTGTCCCAAATCCAAATGATTATTTGAGCACTAATTTTTATAGGTAAAGATTTTATAGATATCATTATAAATACCAATTTTTCTAAAAATTCCAACAGGGAGATCGAGGCCCAGCAGGTTCTCCAGGAATAGCCGGCATATCGGTGAGTCAAATTAACACACATGATTTTCGAAGGTAAATAGTTCTGTGTTCACAGTAAACCTATACCTGGGATCAAGAAGGGCTGGGGCGCAAACCATCACTCCTATGACGTCAGGTTCCTGGAACCTGTAGGTTAAAAAATAAAACCACCTGTCCTTCTTCCACCTCAAAAATGCTCCTTTCTTTATTTTCACCTTAAATTTTTTTTTTTGGTATTTTTTTTCCAACTTCATTTAAGGTGGGGGGGGCGGGAGGGTGGGGGGAGCCCAGTTACCTGTGATGATATATTAATACATGAGCGCAGCTTTGAGAAGCTTGTTTTGTTCCTTTATTCTTATCATATATAAAGGCTTCTTGTTCCTCAAAAAGTAAAGTTCTCTTTCTCAGGCAGGTACTTCAAGTTCTTTGTATGAAACTCGAATCTGCCCGAGTTTTCCCTCAGCCTGGTCTTAGCAGAGCTTTATTGCTGCTAATGGTGTCCTCATAAACCAGCCCTTCAATCCTCTCAATCATTTTTGTTGCTTTCTGGTGTCAAATGTTTTAATCTCATTAAGGTCTTTTCAGATGAATAGAAAGCACTCCAGGAAAGGTTGAAACCATTTCTCTGAGCCCTAGGGGTCGTTCTGATCTTCATTCATGATGCTCTAATTAAAATTTTGTAGTCACGCTTTATGAATAACATCTCATTTCTCTTCTTGCCGGGTGCGCCCGCACTGTAGGCCCAGGGTAAGAAAGTCAATGGAAGTCATGTGCTTGAACATGAGAGATAAGCAGGGTCCTGCCATCACCACCCACCACTACCCATTGACATCTAACACCCCACACCATCCAGCACCACCTGCCACCACCCACTGCCATCCAGCACCACCTGCCACCATCCCTATCCCTTAAAAGGCCAGCAGCCACTCTATTTAGTTGTTAAATCTAATAACAAAATGAAAACCTATCCATAGTCCACAGAAAGCCATTATTTACAGAGGATGACATCTCTTATTGAGTTGTTCTAGATCAAGTTAAAATATTAGTATGATTGAAAAGTAACATGAAAATAGTTTCTTTAGTAAGCACTTCAGAATTTTTTATGCAAGAAAGTATTCTTCTTGAAAGTTGGCTCACACTTAATCTCATTCCTCCCGTCTCCCCTGCACTACCATTTGTAGCAACATATTTGGAGCTGTTTCTAGAATTGCCCCAGGCCCCTTATAACCTGCCCCCTTATAGTCATTCTCACCCTGTTTTTGTTTCTACCTGGTATAATGAAGCTAATGCTCTACTGTATTCACCCAGGTGTGACTACAAATTACTTTTGACTGTTACACTAAATTTAAGTCTATCTTCAGAGAAAAAATATTGGCAACCATTGAAAGCATTTAAAAGATGAGTGACAGGCTCAAAAGGCAATCCAAATGAAGAATTCCAAAAGATATTTTTGAAAGCTGCAGCATGATTGACATAAGAGGTAAAATGAAATTTTCTTGTCTCATAATTAAGAGGCTAAACTGACAATTACAAAAATCGAGAAGGGGTAAAAAAAAAACACACACTACAAATATACAAACAGTGTAATTAAAAACACAACTTAATGTTTTAGAACTGGACCTTGATGTTGCTTGCAAAATAAAATAGTTAAAAGATTCTGGAAATAGTGGTGATAGTTACACAACAATGTGAATATACTTAATATCACTGAATTGTACATTTAAAAATATTAACAACGGAAGATTTTATGTTATGTATACCTTACCACAATAAAAAAAAATTTTTTTGAAGGTGATTGTTTTGGTTGAAGCTGGGATGAGACTTACCTAGTCAGATACATCATGGTCGCTCTGCAGAGTACCATGGGGGCCCAATCCTGCTCTTCCCAGGACAGGCCAGTCTATGTGTTTCTAGTACATTCAGGACTATCCAAAGATTGCTCCAGGGCTCCTTTCTCCCTCTCCCTCCCAGGGTAGTATGAGTACACAGGAGGAAGTGTCTGTAAGAGCTGGCAGTGGGCAGGGCCTCTGGCTGTGGGCGGGGCCTCTGGTCAGCAGGCTCCGCCCCACCCCACCCCTCCCCTCCTTGGCTCTCTGAAGATTCGCTGGAGCTAGCTGACCTTTGGGATTGCTGCTGCCTGTCATCTGGTCCCCAATCTTTTTGCCTCAGATCACAAGGCCCAAACACTCTGCACCCCTGAATCCCATGTGTCAAGACCGTTTTGGACATTGGCCTTCTCACCTCTAACCCACCCCCAACTGAGGAGCACAGGAGCTTCGGGGGCTCCTGCTTGCCCACACAGGCTGTGGGACGCTCTCTCAGGCCTGGTATCTGCCCAGTTTCATCGCTTATTCATATCTGCACCTGTGAGGGGCTCTCCCCCCAGAATTCTAAGCAGCAAGTGGGGTGGGGGTGGGGGGCGGCTGGAAAGCCCTGCCTTTTCAGATTCCCTCACAGCCCACTGTGGTTTCTAAGGTCTCGGCCCTACCCTACATCCCCACGTTGTTTGTCTTTCCCAACCATGCCAGGTCCAAGGGACAGGAGGTGGTTCCTTCTCAAAGGCAACATCTGTGAGCCTGGTCTGGACACTTCAGCCCTTTTTTACTTCCAGTCTGTACGGGAACATCTTTCCTTGTGTCTCCCTGTGGTCTCTCTACCCCAGGTTTTTTCTATTGTCAGTCTTCCAGGACACAATCTGTTGATGTGTATTGGATCAATCTTGTCTCCTCCCTTTCAACAAAACACAGCTTTTCCAATCAAACATGATCTCCTTTGGGCTACCTTACTATAAACTTAGAAACTCTCTTGTGAAACTCAGCCTAGAAAAGGTTTCTTTGCCCTCCCGCCCTCTAAAGTGAAGAAGGGCTGCCAGTTAAAGAGGCACCAGAGGGACTTCCAGAAATGAAATTTAATTTCCCTTGATTAATGTTTTCAAAAGTATTACCCTCCCCTGCTACCCATCCACCATACGCACATATACCCATTCAGAGAGCTGTCCTCCAGCGTGCCGCCAGAGCCTGCAGAGTTGAGTATGGGTCCCCTGGACTGTGTTCCGTTAGGAATGCCATTTGAGTGCAGAGAGCCACAGCCCTGGCAGCATTAAGCTCACAGCTGGGGAGGGGAAGCACGTGGCATCATTCAGTAATGTGGCTCCTAACGTTTCTCTTTGATTTGACTTCCCAGGGGAAGCCTGGAGCCCCGGGGCCTCCAGGAGCTCCAGGGGAAACGGTGAGTTACCAGCTACTTATTTGCGTTGTGCTGCGTGCGGCTCGAAAGCTTTTCTTGTCACTTAATGCTTGTCTGTGGACTTGTCTACAGGGTGAGAGAGGACCTGTGGGAGACATAGGTTTCCCTGGACCAGAAGGACCCTCAGGAAAGCCAGTAAGTACTTTTTACTGTCTACCATCTGCCAGTTTGAGAAATGTTCTAAGCATGGCCTCTTCACCTGTCTCCTCGGAAAACCTGAGATTTGAATCAGTAGTTCCCAAGGAAGTAAGAAGAGTAGGTTCTGCAGATGGATTTTGGGGGTGTGTGGTTCCCACTGACTGTCCTAGATTTCTATGAGGTATTGTTATGTCTTGCACGGTGGGGAGAAAGGTGAATTGTTTTTTAAGTGTCAGGAAATTAGACTCATTGTTTCTTAAGTCTAATGTTCTCCATGAAGTTAAAAAGTCAAATGGCCTGTCACATCCTAAAATACAAAGAAACAGAAGACTCACAAGTCTAACACCTGTGTGTTAAGCTAAAGACTGAAGTAGAAGCTATTTATTTTCTCAGATTTCCTCCTTTATCTATGGGACTTGTCCTTACAGGTTCATAAATCACTGCTGCCAAATATATCATCCCCTTGTGACCTAAAGAGCTCTTGGCTGCTGATACATAGTATTACTGTGACATTGTAACAATCATTCCTATTAATTCAATTCAACACATTGATCTAGTCCCTGCTGTTTGCTAAGGATGAGGATATAAAGATGAATATAAAGGGAGGGATATAAAGATGAATAAGGGGATATAAAGATGAATAAGACATACTCCAATTCCAGGTTTATTCTTTACAGAAGGTCACTGTTCTCTTTGTTTATTTGCTGTGGTGTGTGGAAAGGGGGTGACATGAGGAGAAAGGAGGGCTGAAGGTGAACAAGCAGAACCGAGCTCATGAGACTGGTTGAATATCTCTGTGAAAACGTCAGGGTCGGTGTGTTTCCTGACCACCATCTCCCCAAAGAAGGCAGCCTGAAAAAGAATGAGAAACATCTACAATCTAGCATTAGGAAGATCTGGATTTGACTTATGAATCAAAGGGTTTTGTGAGTCACTTAAGTAACATAACATATGGTAAGCATTTCCAGTGCCTGCTCATGGGAGGTGCTCAACAATATTAGTTTCATCCCCTGCCTCCCCCTTCATTGCCTCTTACCAACTCCCCACTCCCATGCCCTGTAAGCCATCTCATAAATGCTTGCCATTGGGTCCCCAGGGGATTATGCAAAAAGAAATTTGTTCATTCAACAAGTATTTCTCGAGCACCTACTATGTTCTAGGCACTTCTTCTGGGAGCTAGCAATTCATAGGATTTACATTCTAGTACAGGGACACAGACCACACACACACACACACACACACACACACACAATTTCAGGTAGAAGATCTAAGCAGTGGGGAAGGACTAGAGTA